CCCCATTCCTTCATGGGGGGAACCAATTCAATGGACTTTCACACACGGTTCAACTCATCAGCAGTCACTCAAAGTGTGTTATGGGGACATTTTTGATGACCATTTCACACACTTTCCATTCCTCCTTTACGGGGACCAATTCAATGGTCTTTCACACATGTTTAATAGAAGTCACTCAAAGTGTTTTATGGGGACATTCGTGAGGGTTAATTTTGAAAGAAACATTTAAAGTAAAAAGTCCTTGTCTGCAAAGACCAAAAAAGCTTAAAGTATTCTCCTTCCACTATTCCACTTACTGAATATAGTTTAATGAGTGACACAAAACAAATCTAAGATAATTGACTTCAAATGTTATAAAAAACCTTTTCAGTAACTGACAAAGAACCTCTGGTATTTTGTCATGATTGATAAAAATTATCCTACCTGTTTCTGAGGGGCATCGTTTGCAAATGACGTATTCATGTGGCACTGAGGCTGGTCAGAAATTGATCAACAGAACCTGGAAGTAGTGCAATCTGCTGTCACGTGGGTCATCTGTGGGAAACAGAAGGTATGAGGATGTTTACAATAACACTACTATAATAATCACCATCTCAAACAGAGATCACAAATTTAATTTAATATAACCACCCAAGAAGGCCAAAGTACTACCTGCAGTGCACAAATCATAGATTGACAGATGTAAAACAAACTTATTTGCACATACACACATCTATGGTCGGGGACATGCCTCATGAGGACCCTTTTTCACACCCCCGCCCCATTCCTTCATGGGGACCAATTCATGGACTTTCACACACGGTTCAAACTCATCAGCAGTCACTTCAAAGTGTGTTATGGGGACATTTTTGATGGTCATTTCACACACTTCCCATTCCTCCTTTACGGGGACCAATTCAATGGACTTTCACACATGTTTAATAGAAGTCACTCAAAGTGTATTATGGGGACATCGGGAGAGTTCAATTTAAAGAAACATTTGAGTAAAAAGTTTCTCGTCTGCCATGACCCAAAAAAAGGTAAAAAATACATTCCTTCGACAATTCCACTTACTGAATATAGATTAAAAAACGAGTGACACATAACAAATCTAAGATAATTGACTTCAGATGTTATAAAAACATTTCAGAACGTGACAAAGAACCTCTGGTATTTTGTCCATGATTGATAAATATGATCTTACCTTAATCTGATAGGGGCATCGTTTCCAAATGACATTATTCATGTGGCACTGAATGCTGGTCAGAATGATCAAGAAAACCTGTAGTTGAGCCATCTGCTGTCACATGGGTCATCCGTGGTAGACAGAAGGTATAAGGATTTTTTAATTAAAACAACTAAAATAATCATGGTCTAGAACAGAGATCACAAATTTAAATTTAAAGAACCACCCAAGGGGGCCCAAGTATTACCAGCAGTACACAAATCATAGTTTGACAGATTGTAAACCCAACTTGTTTGTACAACACACACATCTAGAGTCTGGAACACGTCTCATGAGGACCTTTCCACACCCCTCTCAATTCCTTCATGGGGACCAATTCAATGAACTTTCACAAACAATTCCACTCATCATCAGTCACTCCCTAGTGCGTTATGGGGACCTTTTTAGGACCATTTCAAACACTTCTATTCCTTCTTTACGGGGACCATTTTCAAACAGACTTTCACACATGATTAAACTCAACAGAAGTCACTCAATTTATTATGGGGACATTGTGATGGTTCATTTGAAAAAGGCTAAAAATATTCTACTTCCACTTATCTACTTACTGAATATAGTTAAAAGTGAGTTAAACATAACAAATCTTATATAATTGACTTCAAATGTTAAAAAGCCTTGCTCAGAACTGACAAAGAATGGTCAGAAATGATCAAGAAAGCCTGTTGTAAAGCCATCTGCTGACACGTGGGTCATCTGTGGGAGACAGAAGGTATCAAGACTTTACAATAGAACACTATAATAATCTATAAGTCTAAAACAGTGCTCCAATTTTTCCAAACCAAGCCCCATGTTATAAAATACTGAAATGTACCCACCAGGTCCCTGGATCACCATGAAACAAGATAAGAGAAACTTAATTGATCTCACAGTGGAGAATCAGGGTTTATAAAGGTCTAAACTAGACTTCCTGAAGTCTACCTAAAGCCTTGTCTATAAGCAGAAAACTCCAAGCTCCAAGTCATAACTAAAACAATCATACAATGTAAAATCACCACCATAGGAGGCCATTTCACACACTTCCATTCATTCTTTATGGGGACCAATGAAACAAAACTTTCAAACATAGTTCAAGTCAATAGCAGTAACTGAAAGGGCATTCTTTGTATTAGGTTAGAAATAAGCAATTATTTTAAGCGTGTGTTTGTGACATAATACTCTTTCTCTCCATGGGCAGTCATCTCCACCATAATCATAAGTAATTTCTTCTCCTTCTTTTTTGTCTCGTAATGCTTCTTTTCATCTTACAATTACTTCCAAAGTCAAGCCATCAGATGCAGAAAAAAAAGAAATCATATTATATATATTACAGATATATAAAAACTTTTAAACACATATCTTCTATATCTAATATATTTTAATACATAATTACAAATCAAACCTTTTACTTTCAACATTTAGTCAGGTACTCAATTAATATATTCATCCAGTACTTCAGTAACTTTTCTTTTTCCTTTCTACTTGAAGAAATTAAATATTTCTGCTATTTGACCCACTTAATTCTTAAAATAAAACTAAACTGCAAACTACTTCTTAATAAGTAAAGCCACTATAGGTTACTGCTATTACATAGAAAGCTTTAGTTGTATCATTCAGAGCCTGTATATGTACTGAAAAACCTTTAGTTGCTTCTTGAAAGTACCACACACAAGTTGATTACTATACGAGCTAGTTGCTAATGCTAACAGGTTGTATATTAAAATCACATCTAATCTTGCTTAAAAAGGGAAACCATGCAAAGTAAATCACTGAATCTGTACTTATTACACAGTTTATTCGTTTTGCATGAGCATTGAACAGATACAGTCTTTAGTATAGCTACCAGCAAAGAGTACTCAGATTCTTTAGCCTGTTTACTCTGACACTAGCTTGTTAGCAAAAATCGGTGCTAACTTCCTAGCTAGCTACTTCTAGTACATAAGAAGCTCTACTTATGTAATTTAGTCACCACTCGTTTACTGCGAAGACAACTGTTCGCCATCTGAATGTCCTTTTAGAAGGGAACATTGACCCATGTGCTGTTTGGTAGAATCTGCTGTCCAAGCTAGTTGCTAATGCTAGCTCCAACAAGTTGCCAATGCTAGCTCGAACCAGTTGCATTAGTCTGTACATTAAAACCACAGCAATTCAGGCCACAAAAGTGAATTAGCAATAACTTGGTTGCTATTAAATAACATGCATATATACAATATTTGTTCTAAAATGATTGCAAATTATGCTTACCTGTCTGTTGCATTTGAAAGCAGCTGAAAACAGTTGATTCCAAGATCATCACTCTTGGGGACCAGGATGTGGGCGGTACTTAATTATATATGCAAAGTGTGTGTGGAAACCAATGTGTCTTACCAGTCATTACCACCAGAGGTGCCAATGAGCAACCACAACACACACATTAAACATCACTTACGAGCCTTCTCTAAAACTTTGCCCAGCACCTTCTAAACAGCTCCCCCATTCATCTAAATGGTTTTCCTTATGGGGACCTGGTTTTTGGTCCTCCTAAGGAAATGGGTCCCCATGGCGTGACTGTGTTAACAGATTTCAGTCCCCACAACGTGATGATTACAAGAACACACACACACACACACACACACACACACACACACACACACACACACACACACACACACACACACACAGGTTATTAGTGACGCCAAACATTATACCAGGAATATTACACTGGTGCTCAGACTCAGAACTGTAGCTGGCATCTGGAACAGTCTGCCTGGAAATGTGAGACAGGCTTCTGCTCTGACAATGTTAAAAATGTGGGTTAAAAACAGTTGAATCGGGAAAGACTCTAAACAGAGATTGCGTTAGTATGAGGAAGTTATGGCAGAAATTCAGGCGTTGGTAACTCCAAGTAGTTACCATAGCAACTCCCAGTAGCTACCATAGCAACGCACTGTTTACTAGCATCCGTTAGCATTTAGCCTTTTAACAAACTGTTTTTGTTGTAATTTCAGTTACATTCACACAGTATAAATGACTTACTTTCAATAGATCTGGTCAAAAAGTGAAATATTTTGGCGTTGACGGCTCTGGGAGTAGTTTCAGAGTCCTAGTGTTAAGTGTCTCTTGTGTTCAAACTACGAGAGAAATGTTGGATTGGAAAAAGAAGGCTGCAATCTTTTATGTGTAATCCTGTGTGCGTTTGTTAAAAATATACATATAATAAAGAAGCAATTGTGAAAATAAGCAATGTTTCAGATTAATGCAGCGAATATCTGTCTTCCTGAAAATGTGAGACAGTTTTAAAATCCAGTGCACCTGAACTGAAGGATTTTATCTTCACTATTTTTAAATTAATTGCGGCAATTATTTTCTATGTTTTTAATATTTCTTGAGATATTTAATGAAACAGACAAGTCCTGAGTATAGAGTCCAAGTCTAAGACCAACAAGTCTCAAGTCAAATCCCAAGTTTTCGGTTTAACTTGAGTCCTTTCGAGTCTTCTAAAGACCGCGATTCGTTTGTTGTTCCACGTGATTTTTGTGGCAAATAAAATCATTTTAGTAATAATTTTTCAGATTCATCTCTGGGCCCTGGACTGAGGACTTGTTACATGTGATTGGCGGGCTCCCTGTCACACATGCACAGGCTACACACACACAGACGCACACACAGGCGCACACCAGTGTGGGCGGGTCCCGGCTCAAAAGTGGCCAAAATGACGTGCGCTGACATGCTGCAATACCACCCCGGGCCTGTGGGGGTGGACCCAGAAGAAGAATTAGCCAATGCTAACATATAGCATTAGCAGACCTCTCAAAAACGTCTTTACAGGATGGTCCAAAAGTTGGTTCTTGGCCCAAAGCTCCGTTCCACATGTGTGTCAATGCTGAGGGGGGTGGATTTTTTTGGTCCATTCTAGTTTAGTCGCTGTGGACTTTAGAAGTCTCTCGTTCAAATGAACGGAGCTGCTCGGGCTGACGCATGCGCAGATGCGTTTTTTCACAATTTTCTTGTGGGCGGGACCACTCGCGGCCATTTTGGATAGCTCCAGTAGAGCACATTTTTTGGCCCATTAGTTAGAACGGCGGAGATAGGCGTGACTACGTCCGTTTATATATACAGTCTATGGCGCACACACAGGCGCACACAGAGGAACACACACAGGCGCACATACAGGTGCACACACAGGCAAACACATAGGCACACACACAGGCACACACACACAGGCGCACACACAGGAACACACACAGGCGAACACATAGGCACACACACAGGAACACACACAGGCACACACACAGGAACACACACAAGCGAACACACAGTAACACACACAGGAACACACACAGGCGCACACACAGGAACACACACACAGGCTTACACACAGGCGAACACATAGGCACACACACACAGGAACACACACAGGCACACACACGCAGGCGCACAAATGGGCGCACAGATAGACTCACACACAGGCGCACACACAGACGCACAAACACAGGCTCACACAAAGGCGCACACACAAGCTCACACACAGGAACACACACAGACGCACATACAGGCACGCACACACACAGACACACACAGAGGCACACACACAGGCTCACACACAGGCACACACACAGGCACACACACAGGAACACACACAGGCTCACACACAGGCACACACACACAGGCTCACACACACAGGCGCACACACAGGCTCACACACAGACGCACACACAGGCTCACACACAGGCACACACACACAGGCTCACACACACAGGCTCACACACACAGGCGCACACACAGGCTCACACACAGACGCACACACAGGCTCACACACAGGCACACACACACAGGCTCACACACACAGGCTCACACACACAGGCGCACATACAGGCTCACACACAGGCACACACACAGGCGCACACACAGGCACACACAGGCACACACACACAGGCTCACACACACAGGCGCACACACAGGCTCTCACACACAGACGCACACACATACACAAAGAGAGCGTGTCAAGATACTTATTGTCTTTGAGGTCACATGACTCCAGTCCACTCTGATAAACAGCTGACTGATTGATAATTAAAAAAATATTTCCTCTGAATGTGGAGCATTTATGATCCACAAATATCTCCTCAAGACACGGTTTAAACAGTTTAACTCCATGTGGAAAATCTGCTTTAACTCCGACACAGAATCCAAGTTAGAAGTTTGTCTATTAGAGCCGAGCAGAGAGGGCGCAGAACTTTTCCGGTCTAACAGCGTCGTGTTTGATAGATGCGGCTCACAGGAGTTGTTAGGAGGCTGCTGGTGGGTGGCGGGTGCTTGGACGCTTTTCTCGCCGATCTCGTCTGCGGCAGAACTGAGTGGGAGGAAGAGCATGTCTGGAGAATGAAAGCTGGGCCAAGGTTCTCGCTTCTAACACCGGGTAAACACATGGCACTGAGTCGCATCCCAGGGACAAACTGAGTCGCATTCCGGGGACAAACTGAGTCGTATCCCGGGGACAAACTGAGTCGTATCCCGGGGACAAACTGAGTCAAACTGAGGGGACAAACTGAGTCGTATCCCGGGGAGGAACTGAGTGGCATCCCGGGGACAAACTGAGTCGTATCCCGGGGACAAACTGAGTGGCATCCAGGGGACTAACTGAGTCGTATCCCGGGGACAAACTGAGTCGTATCCCGGGGACAAACTGAGTCGCATCCCAGGGGACAAACTGAGTCGCATCCCGGGGACAAACTGAGTCGTATCCCGGGGACAAACTGAGTCAAACTGAGGGGACAAACTGAGTCGTATCCCGGGGAGGAACTGAGTGGCATCCCGGGGACAAACTGAGTCGTATCCCGGGGACAAACTGAGTGGCATCCAGGGGACTAACTGAGTCGTATCCCGGGGACAAACTGAGTCGTATCCCGGGGACAAACTGAGTCGCATCCCAGGGGACAAACTGAGTCGCATCCCAGGGACAAACTGAGTCGTATCCTGGGGACAAACTGAGTCAAACTGAGGGGACAAACTGAGTCGTATCCCGGGGACAAACTGAGTTGCATCCCGGGGACAAACTGAGTCGTATCCCGGGGACAAACTGAGTCGCATCCCGGGGACAAACTGAGTCGCATCCCGGGGACAAACTGAGTCGTATCCCGGGGACAAACTGAGTCGTATCCCAGGGACAAACTGAGTCGTATCCCGGGGACAAACTGAGTCGCTTCCCAGGGACAAACTGAGTCGCATCCCGGGGACAAACTGAGTCAAACTGAGGGGACAAACTGAGTCGTATCCCGGGGAGGAACTGAGTGGCATCCCGGGGACAAACTGAGTCGTATCCCGGGGACAAACTGAGTGGCATCCAGGGGACTAACTGAGTCGTATCCCGGGGACAAACTGAGTCGTATCCCGGGGACAAACTGAGTCGCATCCCAGGGGACAAACTGAGTCGCATCCCAGGGACAAACTGAGTCGTATCCCGGGGACAAACTGAGTCAAACTGAGGGGACAAACTGAGTCGTATCCCGGGGACAAACTGAGTTGCATCCCGGGGACAAACTGAGTCGTATCCCGGGGACAAACTGAGTCGCATCCCGGGGACAAACTGAGTCGCATCCCGGGGACAAACTGAGTTGTATCCCGGGGACAAACTGAGTCGTATCCCAGGGACAAACTGAGTCGTATCCCAGGGACAAACTGAGTCGTATCCCGGGGACAAACTGAGTCGCTTCCCAGGGACAAACTGAGTTGCATCCCGGGGACAAACTGAGTCAAACTGAGGGGACAAACTGAGTCGTATCCCGGGGAGGAACTGAGTGGCATCCCGGGGACAAACTGAGTCGTATCCCGGGGACAAACTGAGTGGCATCCAGGGGACTAACTGAGTCGTGTCCCGGGGACAAACTGAGTCGCATCCCAGGGGACAAACTGAGTCGCATCCCAGGGACAAACTGAGTCGTATCCCGGGGACAAACTGAGTTGCATCCCGGGGACAAACTGAGTCGTATCCCGGGGACAAACTGAGTCGCATCCGGGACAAACTGTCGCATCCCGGGGACAAACTGAGTCGTATCCCGGGACAAACTGAGTCGTATCCCAGGGACAAACTGAGTCGTATCCCAGGGACAAACTGAGTCGTATCCCGGGGACAAACTGAGTCGTATCCCGGGACAAACTGAGTCGCTTCCCAGGGACAAACTGAGTCGCATCCCGGGGACAAACTGAGTCAAACTGAGGGGACAAACTGAGTCGTATCCCGGGGACAAACTGAGTTGCATCCCGGGGACAAACTGAGTCGTATCCCGGGGACAAACTGAGTCGCATCCCGGGGACAAACTGAGTCGCATCCCAGGGACAAACTGAGTCGCATCCCGTGGACAAACTGAGTCGTATCCCGGGGACAAACTGAGTCGTATCCCAGGGACAAACTGAGTCGTATCCCAGGGACAAACTGAGTCGTATCCCGGGGACAAACTGAGTCGCTTCCCAGGGACAAACTGAGTCGCATCCCGGGGACAAACTGAGTCAAACTGAGGGGACAAACTGAGTCGTATCCCGGGGAGGAACTGAGTGGCATCCCGGGGACAAACTGAGTCGTATCCCGGGGACAAACTGAGTGGCATCCAGGGGACTAACTGAGTCGTATCCCGGGGACAAACTGAGTCGTATCCCGGGGACAAACTGAGTCGCATCCCAGGGGACAAACTGAGTCGCATCCCAGGGACAAACTGAGTCGTATCCCGGGGACAAACTGAGTCAAACTGAGGGGACAAACTGAGTCGTATCCCGGGGACAAACTGAGTTGCATCCCGGGGACAAACTGAGTCGTATCCCGGGGACAAACTGAGTTGCATCCCGGGGACAAACTGAGTCGCATCCCGGGGACAAACTGAGTCGTATCCCGGGGACAAACTGAGTCGTATCCCAGGGACAAACTGAGTCGTATCCCAGGGACAAACTGAGTCGTATCCCGGGGACAAACTGAGTCACTTCCCAGGGACAAACTGAGTCGCATCCCGGGGACAAACTGAGTCAAACTGAGGGGACAAACTGAGTCGTATCCCGGGGAGGAACTGAGTGGCATCCCGGGGACAAACTGAGTCGTATCCCGGGGACAAACTGAGTGGCATCCAGGGGACTAACTGAGTCGTATCCCGGGGACAAACTGAGTCGTATCCCGGGGACAAACTGAGTCGCATCCAAGGGGACAAACTGAGTCGCATCCCAGGGACAAACTGAGTCGTATCCCGGGGACAAACTGAGTCGCATCCCAGGGGACAAACTGAGTCGCATCCCAGGGACAAACTGAGTCGTATCCCGGGGACAAACTGAGTCAAACTGAGGGGACAAACTGAGTCGTATCCCGGGGACAAACTGAGTTGCATCCCGGGGACAAACTGAGTCATATCCCGGGGACAAACTGAGTCGTATCCCGGGGACAAACTGAGTTGCATCCCGGGGACAAACTGAGTCGTATCCCGGGGACAAACTGAGTCGCATCCCGGGGACAAACTGAGTCGCATCCCAGGGACAAACTGAGTCGCATCCCGTGGACAAACTGAGTCGTATCCCGGGGACAAACTGAGTCGTATCCCAGGGACAAACTGAGTCGTATCCCAGGGACAAACTGAGTCGTATCCCGGGGACAAACTGAGTCGCTTCCCAGGGACAAACTGAGTCGCATCCCGGGGACAAACTGAGTCAAACTGAGGGGACAAACTGAGTCGTATCCCGGGGAGGAACTGAGTGGCATCCCGGGGACAAACTGAGTCGTATCCCGGGGACAAACTGAGTGGCATCCAGGGGACTAACTGAGTCGTATCCCGGGGACAAACTGAGTCGTATCCCGGGGACAAACTGAGTCGCATCCCAGGGGACAAACTGAGTCGCATCCCAGGGACAAACTGAGTCGTATCCCGGGGACAAACTGAGTCAAACTGAGGGGACAAACTGAGTCGTATCCCGGGGACAAACTGAGTTGCATCCCGGGGACAAACTGAGTCGTATCCCGGGGACAAACTGAGTTGCATCCCGGGGACAAACTGAGTCGCATCCCGGGGACAAACTGAGTCGTATCCCGGGGACAAACTGAGTCGTATCCCAGGGACAAACTGAGTCGTATCCCAGGGACAAACTGAGTCGTATCCCGGGGACAAACTGAGTCACTTCCCAGGGACAAACTGAGTCGTATCCCGGGACAAACTGAGTTGCATCCCGGGGACAAACTGAGTCGCATCCCGGGGACAAACTGAGTCGTATCCCGGGGACAAACTGAGTCGTATCCCAGGGACAAACTGAGTCGTATCCCAGGGACAAACTGAGTCGTATCCCGGGGACAAACTGAGTCACTTCCCAGGGACAAACTGAGTCGCATCCCGGGGACAAACTGAGTCAAACTGAGGGGACAAACTGAGTCGTATCCCGGGGACAAACTGAGTCACTTCCCAGGGACAAACTGAGTCGTATCCCGGGGACAAACTGAGTGGCATCCCGGGGACAAACTGAGTCGCATCCCGGGGACAAACTGAGTCGTATCCCGGGGACAAACTGAGTCGTATCCCAGGGACAAACTGAGTCGTATCCCAGGGACAAACTGAGTCGTATCCCGGGGACAAACTGAGTCACTTCCCAGGGACAAACTGAGTCGCATCCCGGGGACAAACTGAGTCAAACTGAGGGGACAAACTGAGTCGTATCCCGGGGAGGAACTGAGTGGCATCCCGGGGACAAACTGAGTCGTATCCCGGGGACAAACTGAGTGGCATCCAGGGGACTAACTGAGTCGTATCCCGGGGACAAACTGAGTCGTATCCCGGGGACAAACTGAGTCGCATCCAAGGGGACAAACTGAGTCGCATCCCAGGGACAAACTGAGTCGTATCCCGGGGACAAACTGAGTCGCATCCCAGGGGACAAACTGAGTCGCATCCCAGGGACAAACTGAGTCGTATCCCGGGGACAAACTGAGTCAAACTGAGGGGACAAACTGAGTCGTATCCCGGGGACAAACTGAGTTGCATCCCGGGGACAAACTGAGTCATATCCCGGGGACAAACTGAGTCGTATCCCGGGGACAAACTGAGTGGCATCCAGGGGACTAACTGAGTCGTATCCCGGGGACAAACTGAGTCGTATCCCGGGGACAAACTGAGTCGCATCCCAGGGGACAAACTGAGTCGCATCCCAGGGACAAACTGAGTCGTATCCCGGGGACAAACTGAGTCAAACTGAGGGGACAAACTGAGTCGTATCCCGGGGACAAACTGAGTTGCATCCCGGGGACAAACTGAGTCGTATCCCGGGGACAAACTGAGTCGCATCCCGGGGACAAACTGAGTCGCATCCCGGGGACAAACTGAGTTGTATCCCGGGGACAAACTGAGTCGTATCCCAGGGACAAACTGAGTCGTATCCCAGGGACAAACTGAGTCGTATCCCGGGGACAAACTGAGTCGCTTCCCAGGGACAAACTGAGTTGCATCCCGGGGACAAACTGAGTCAAACTGAGGGGACAAACTGAGTCGTATCCCGGGGAGGAACTGAGTGGCATCCCGGGGACAAACTGAGTCGTATCCCGGGGACAAACTGAGTGGCATCCAGGGGACTAACTGAGTCGTGCCCGGGGACAAACTGAGTCGCATCCCAGGGGACAAACTGAGTCGCATCCCAGGGACAAACTGAGTCGTATCCCGGGGACAAACTGAGTTGCATCCCGGGGACAAACTGAGTCGTAGAGTCGCATCCCGGGGACAAACTGAGTCGTATCCCGGGGACAAACTGAGTCGTATCCCGGGACAAACTGAGTCGTATCCCAGGGACAAACTGAGTCGTATCCCAGGGACAAACTGAGTCGTATCCCGGGGACAAACTGAGTCGTATCCCGGGGACAAACTGAGTCGCTTCCCAGGGACAAACTGAGTCGCATCCCGGGGACAAACTGAGTCAAACTGAGGGGACAAACTGAGTCGTATCCCGGGGAGGAACTGGGTGGCATCCCGGGGACAAACTGAGTCGTATCCCGGGGACAAACTGAGTGGCATCCAGGGGACTAACTGAGTCGTATCCCGGGGACAAACTGAGTCGTATCCCGGGGACAAACTGAGTCGCATCCCAGGGGACAAACTGAGTCTTATCCCAGGGACAAACTGAGTCGTATCCTGGGGACAAACTGAGTCAAACTGAGGGGACAAACTGAGTCGTATCCCGGGGACAAACTGAGTTGCATCCCGGGGACAAACTGAGTCGTATCCCGGGGACAAACTGAGTCGCATCCCGGGACAAACTGAGTCGCATCCCAGGGACAAACTGAGTCGCATCCCGTGGACAAACTGAGTCGTATCCCGGGACAAACTGAGTCGTATCCCAGGGACAAACTGAGTCGTATCCCAGGGACAAACTGAGTCGTATCCCGGGGACAAACTGAGTCGCTTCCCAGGGACAAACTGAGTCGCATCCCGGGGACAAACTGAGTCAAACTGAGGGGACAAACTGAGTCGTATCCCGGGGAGGAACTGAGTGGGATCCCGGGGACAAACTGAGTCGTATCCCGGGGACAAACTGAGTTGCATCCCGGGGACAAACTGAGTCGTATCCCGGGGACAAACTGAGTTGCATCCCGGGGACAAACTGAGTCGCATCCCGGGGACAAACTGAGTCGTATCCCGGGGACAAACTGAGTCGTATCCCAGGGACAAACTGAGTCGTATCCCAGGGACAAACTGAGTCGTATCCCGGGGACAAACTGAGTCACTTCCCAGGGACAAACTGAGTCGCATCCCGGGGACAAACTGAGTCAAACTGAGGGGACAAACTGAGTCGTATCCCGGGGAGGAACTGAGTGGCATCCCGGGGACAAACTGAGTCGTATCCCGGGGACAAACTGAGTGGCATCCAGGGGACTAACTGAGTCGTATCCCGGGGACAAACTGAGTCGTATCCCGGGGACAAACTGAGTCGCATCCAAGGGGACAAACTGAGTCGCATCCCAGGGACAAACTGAGTCGTATCCCGGGGACAAACTGAGTCGCATCCCAGGGGACAAACTGAGTCGCATCCCAGGGACAAACTGAGTCGTATCCCGGGGACAAACTGAGTCAAACTGAGGGGACAAACTGAGTCGTATCCCGGGACAAACTGAGTGCATCCGGGACAAACTGAGTTGATCCCGGGACAAACTCCCCGGGACAAACTGAGTCGTATCCCGGGGACAAACTGAGTGGCATCCAGGGGACTAACTGAGTCGTATCCCGGGACAAACTGAGTCGTATCCCGGGGACAAACTGAGTCGCATCCCAGGGGACAAACTGAGTCGCATCCCAGGGACAAACTGAGTCGTATCCCGGGGACAAACTGAGTCAAACTGAGGGACAAACTGAGTCGTATCCCGGGGACAAACTGAGTTGCATCCCGGGGACAAACTGAGTCGTATCCCGGGGACAAACTGAGTCGCATCCCGGGGACAAACTGAGTCGCATCCCGGGACAAACTGAGTTGTATCCCGGGGACAAACTGAGTCGTATCCCAGGGACAAACTGAGTCGTATCCCAGGGACAAACTCAGTCGTATCCCGGGGACAAACTGAGTCGCTTCCCAGGGACAAACTGAGTCGTATCCCAGGGACAAACTGAGTCGTATCCCGGGGACAAACTGAGTCGTATCCCGGGGACAAACTGAGTCGCTTCCCAGGGACAAACTGAGTCGCATCCCGGGGACAAACTGAGTCAAACTGAGGGGACAAACTGAGTCGTATCCGGGGAGGAACTGGGTGGCATCCCGGGGACAAACTGAGTCGTATCCCGGGGACAAACTGAGTGGCATCCAGGGGACTAACTGAGTCGTATCCCGGGGACAAACTGAGTCGTATCCCGGGGACAAACTGAGTCGCATCCCAGGGGACAAACTGAGTCTTATCCCAGGGACAAACTGAGTCGTATCCTGGGGACAAACTGAGTCAAACTGAGGGGACAAACTGAGTCGTATCCCGGGGACAAACTGAGTTGCATCCCGGGGACAAACTGAGTCGTATCCCGGGGACAAACTGAGTCGCATCCCGGGGACAAACTGAGTCGCATCCCAGGGACAAACTGAGTCGCATCCCGTGGACAAACTGAGTCGTATCCCGGGGACAAACTGAGTCGTATCCCAGGGACAAACTGAGTCGTATCCCAGGGACAAACTGAGTCGTATCCCGGGGACAAACTGAGTCGCTTCCCAGGGACAAACTGAGTCGCATCCCGGGACAAACTGAGTCAAACTGAGGGGACAAACTGAGTCGTATCCCGGGGAGGAACTGAGTGGGATCCCGGGGACAAACTGAGTCGTATCCCGGGGACAAACTGAGTTGCATCCCGGGGACAAACTGAGTCGTATCCCGGGGACAAACTGAGTTGCATCCCGGGGACAAACTGAGTCGCATCCCGGGGACAAACTGAGTCGTATCCGGGGACAAACTGAGTCGTATCGGACAAACTGAGTCGTATCCAGGGACAAACTGAGTCGTATCCCGGGGACAAACTGAGTCGTATCCCGGGGACAAACTGAGTCGCATCCGGGGACAAACTGAGTCAAATCCAGGGACAAACTGAGTCGTATCCCGGGGACAAACTGAGTCGCACAACGGGGACAAACTGAGTCGCATCCCAGGGACAAACTGAGTCGTATCCCGGGGACAAACTGAGTCAAAACTGAGGGGACAAACTGAGTCGTATCCCGGGGACAAACTGAGTTGCATCCCGGGGACAAACTGAGTCGTATCCCGGGGACAAACTGAGTCGTATCCCGGGGACAAACTGAGTGCATCCAGGGGACAAACTGAGTCGTATCCCGGGGACAAACTGAGTCGTATCCCGGGGACAAACTGAGTCGCATCCCAGGGGACAAACTGAGTCGCATCCCAGGGACAAACTGAGTCGTATCCCGGGGACAAACTGAGTCAAACTGAGGGGACAAACTGAGTCGTATCCCGGGGACAAACTGAGTTGCATCCCGGGGACAAACTGAGTCGTATCCCGGGGACAAACTGAGTCGCATCCCGGGGACAAACTGAGTCGCATCCCGGGGACAAACTGAGTTGTATCCCGGGGACAAACTGAGTCGTATCCCAGGGACAAACTGAGTCGTATCCCAGGGACAAACTGAGTCGTATCCCGGGGACAAACTGAGTCGCTTCCCAGGGACAAACTGAGTTGCATCCCGGGGACAAACTGAGTCAAACTGAGGGGACAAACTGAGTCGTATCCCGGGGAGGAACTGAGTGGCATCCCGGGGACAAACTGAGTCGTATCCCGGGGACAAACTGAGTGGCATCCAGGGGACTAACTGAGTCGTGTCCCGGGGACAAACTGAGTCGCATCCCAGGGGACAAACTGAGTCGCATCCCAGGGACAAACTGAGTCGTATCCCGGGGACAAACTGAGTTGCATCCCGGGGACAAACTGAGTCGTATCCCGGGGACAAACTGAGTCGCATCCCGGGGACAAACTGAGTCGTATCCCGGGGACAAACTGAGTCGTATCCCAGGGACAAACTGAGTCGTATCCCAGGGACAAACTGAGTCGTATCCCGGGGACAAACTGAGTCGTATCCCGGGGACAAACTGAGTCGCTTCCCAGGGACAAACTGAGTCGCATCCCGGGGACAAACTGAGTCAAACTGAGGGGACAAACTGAGTCGTATCCGGGGAGGAACTGGGTGGCATCCCGGGGACAAACTGAGTCGTATCCCGGGGACAAACTGAGTGGCATCCAGGGGACTAACTGAGTCGTATCCCGGGGACAAACTGAGTCGTATCCCGGGGACAAACTGAGTCGCATCCCAGGGGACAAACTGAGTCTTATCCCAGGGACAAACTGAGTCGTATCCTGGGGACAAACTGAGTCAAACTGAGGGGACAAACTGAGTCGTATCCCGGGGACAAATTGAGTTGCATCCCGGGGACAAACTGAGTCGTATCCCGGGGACAAACTGAGTCGCATCCCGGGGACAAACTGAGTCGCATCCCAGGGACAAACTGAGTCGCATCCCGTGGACAAACTGAGTCGTATCCCGGGGACAAACTGAGTCGTATCCCAGGGACAAACTGAGTCGTATCCCAGGGACAAACTGAGTCGTATCCCGGGGACAAACTGAGTCGCTTCCCAGGGACAAACTGAGTCGCATCCCGGGGACAAACTGAGTCAAACTGAGGGGACAAACTGAGTCGGATCCCGGGGAGGAACTGAGTGGGATCCCGGGGACAAACTGAGTCGTATCCCGGGGACAAACTGAGTGGCATCCAGGGGACTAACTGAGTCGTATCCCGGGGACAAACTGAGTCGTATCCCGGGGACAAACTGAGTCGCATCCCAGGGGACAAACTGAGTCGCATCCCAGGGACAAACTGAGTCGTATCCCGGGGACAAACTGAGTCAAACTGAGGGGACAAACTGAGTCGTATCCCGGGGACAAACTGAGTTGCATCCCGGGGACAAACTGAGTCGTATCCCGGGGACAAACTGAGTCGCATCCCGGGGACAAACTGAGTCGTATCCCGGGGACAAACTGAGTCGTATCCCAGGGACAAACTGAGTCGTATCCCAGGGACAAACTGAGTCGTATCCCGGGGACAATCTGAGTCACTTCCCAGGGACAAACTGAGTCGCATCCCGGGGACAAACTGAGTCAAACTGAGGGGACAAACTGAGTCGTATCCCGGGGAGGAACTGAGTGGCATCCCGGGGACAAACTGAGTCGTATCCCGGGGACAAACTGAGTGGCATCCAGGGGACTAACTGAGTCGTATCCCGGGGACAAACTGAGTCGTATCCCGGGGACAAACTGAGTCGCATCCAAGGGGACAAACTGAGTCGCATCCCAGGGACAAACTGAGTCGTATCCCGGGGACAAACTGAGTCAAACTGAGGGGACACACTGAGTCGTATCCCGGGGACAAACTGAGTTGCATCCCGGGGACAAACTGAGTCGTATCCCGGGGACAAACTGAGTCGTATCCCGGGGACAAACTGAGTCGTATCCCAGGGACAAACTGAGTCGTATCCCAGGGACAAACTGAGTCGTATCCCGGGGACAAACTGAGTCGCTTCCCAGGGACAAACTGAGTCGCATCCCGGGGACAAACTGAGTCGCATCCCAGGGACAAACTGAATCGCATCCCGGGGACAAACTGAGTCACATCCCGGGGACAAACTGAGTCGCATCCCGGGGACAAACTGAGTCGTATCCCGGGGACAAACTGAGTCGTATCCAGGGGACAAACTGAGTCGCGTCCCAGGGACAAACTGAGTTGTATCCCGGGGACAAACTGAGTCGCATCCCGGGGAGGAACTGAGTCGCATCCCGGGGACAAACTGAGTTGCGTCCCGGGGACAAACTGAGTCGTATCCCGGGGACAAACTGAGTCGTATCCCGGGGACAAACTGAGTCACATCCCAGGGACTAACTCTGACTCCTGCATCAGCTGCTGACGACTGGAACCAGAACCTACTGCAGTTCTACACAATGCTATGTGTTTTTGTGTAGCGTTAAATCACAACAGTTGTTATCTCTGAGGGCCTTAGAAAGCTGTCCATTCGCATTAACGTTAGCATGATAAAGAAGCTAGTTTAAAATTGTTAGCTTTATAATAATAAAAAAGCTAGTTTAAAATCTCTAGCTTTAGCATAATAAAGAAGCTAGTATAAAATCTCTAGCTTTAGCATAATAAAGAAGCTAGTATAAAATCTCTAGCTTTAGCATAATAAAGAAGCTAGTATAAAATCTCTAGCTTTAGCATAATAAAAAAAGCTAGTATAAAATCTAGCTTTAGCATAATAAAGAAGCTAGAATAAAATCTCTAGCTTTAGCATAATAAAGAAGCTAGTATAAATATCTAGCTTTAGCATAATAAAGAAGTATAAACTGTAACATTTATGGTGTGGTCAGTCCTGGTTAAACTTTGAATATTTGTGTATCTGTTCTTTTGCTAAAATAGATTTCTCCATTTTCAAAATTGTCCAAAAAGCTGCATTCATGAAGTTTCAATCTTCAACATGTCTTGGTTTTGGCAGAAAAGGTGAATTTGCTCCAAAAATGGTGAAACTATAATTGCACAACTCTGAAGGACATTTGGCTTTTCAAAACTCTACTGAGAAATACATGCAACTTTCAAATATCTTTCTGGGTGAAAGCCAGATCCTGTCAGATCTCTGAAGCTAAGCAGGGCAGGGTCTGGTTAGTCCTGTGATGGGAGACCTCTGGGAACAGCAGGTGCCACAGTGGGGCGGCTGTAAAGTGTCAAACTGTGTTGTGTCCTTGGGCAAGACACTTCCCCCACATTAGAATGAGTCTGGTGTGTGTGTGAATGGTTGGTGGTGGTGGGAGGGGCCGATGGCACAGACTGGTTTCCTCGCTTCTGTCAGTGTGCCCCAGGGCAGCTGTGGCTATAATAGTAGTTTATCACCACCGTGTTTTGATTGATGATGATGTGAAGAGACTTTGAGAGTCCAGAAAAGCACTGTATAAAACAAATGCATTACTGCTTTTTATTTTTATTCTAGCATAGACGAGCTGCAGCCACTCACATGACCAGGTGTTAAACTCACTATTGTTGCTCGACAGTATAAAACACCACAGACTCCCCACGTTCTCTCTGATCCCACACTGAGCCTGATGCAGCTCTGAGTCCCGTAAACACTCCTCCAGAACACGCAGCGAGGATCAGCAGCGATTACACCAGAAAACATGCAACAGTTGTTCCCCTCTATCTCGTGATTACAACCTCCCGCCTCATCGCACTGATATGTCGCCTGTTGCGCCGGATTAAGTATCATAGCTAAACACATCCGCCGCAGAAACCACCATAAATCCCCGGCTTTAAAGCAAATAGAATGATTGATGTAGTGGCAGAGGCTCCTGAAGGGGGCGAGCCGGTGGGGGCGAGGTGGTGGGGGTGAGGTGGTGGGGGTGAGCGGGTGGGGGCGAGCCGGTGGGGGCGAGGTGGTGGGGGTGAGCGGGTGGGGGCGAGCCGGTGGGGGCGAGGTGGTTGGGGGCGGAGTGGGTGGGGGCGAGCGGGTGGGGTGAGGTGGTGGGGGCGAGGTGGTGGAGACTGCTGATTACAGAAACGGACTCAGACTCTGCAGACCTGTCTAATCTCAGGCTCTCGCTGTTTGTGCTTATGTGTTCTGTCTTTTATGTGTGTGTGTGTGTGTGTGTGTGTGTGTGTGTGTGTACGTGTGTGTGTACGTGTGTGTACGTGTGTGTGCATGTGTGTGTGTGTGTGTGTGTGCATGTGTGTGTGTGTGTGTGCCTACATAAATAAACCAGCCAGCCATTTATCATGGTTTCATTTCTCAGCCTCATGAATAAAATTCCTTTGTGTGTGTCTATCCAGAGACCGGCATCGCATATAGGGGGCCCTAGCATTCACCGATTCTCTCTCTCTCTCTCTCTGTCTGTCTCTCACTGTCACTATCTCTCTCTGTCATTTTCTCTCTTTCTATCTCTCAGTCACTATCTCTTTCCATCTCTCTCAGTCTCTCTCTCCCAGTCTTTCTCTCTCTCAGTCACTCTTTCTCTCTCTCTCTCCCTGTCTCTCTCTCTCTCTCTGTCTGTCTCTCAGTCTCTCTCTCTTTCTGTCACTCTTTCTCTCTCTCAGTCTCTCTCTTTCAGTCTCTCTCTCCCAGTCTCTCTCTCTCTCTCTCTCTGTCACTATCTCTCTCCCTGTCTCTCTCTCTTTCAGTCTCTCTCTCTCTCTCTCTCCCTGTCTCTCTTTCTCTCAGTCACTCTCTGTCCCTCTCTCTCTCTCTCTCTCTCTCTCTCTCCGCCGTGAATAAGATCACAGCAATTAAGGTATCACCTCCCTCCCCCTGTTGTGTAGCGAGGGATCCCGGCGCACACGCGTGATGAAGCGTCCATGCAGGTGTTAACCAGCCTGACACAGACACACACTGAACACAGACACACACTGAACACAGACACACACTGACACAGACACACACTGACACAGACACACGCTGACACAGACACACACTGACACAGACACACACTGACACAGACACACACTGACAAGTCCAGGACTCTGTTGAAAAAGAGGTTCTCAATCTCAATGAGACTTTCCAGGTTAAATGAAGGTTAAATGAAGTAAAAAGTGGTGACAATTAGCACGGTCTCACTACAACACTAAAGATACTGCTTCTGGCCCAATGAAACTGTCGCGTCCAAATCAGATAAACACATAAATACATAAGTAAAGCCTCTACATGGTGGTGGTAAACTGTTACTGTAGCCACGCCTGCCCTGGGGCGGACCGCGAGAGAAAGCACACTGAATTGTGTCATCGGCCCCTCCCACCACACACACCAGACTCGTTCTAATGTGGGGTTCTCAGTTTGGCACTTTACAGCCGCAGCCGCCCCACTGTGTGTTCCCACAGGTCTCCCATCACAACACTGTCCAGGCCCTGTCCTACTTAGCTTCAGAGGTCTGATGGGATCAGAGTTTCACATGCAAAAAGCTAGAGAAAATTAAACAGCGGGTTTTAGCGTGATTCGAAGTCAATGACAGAATGAAAGAGGTTCTGAGCTCTATGATGGTGTAAAATGTTGGAGCCAACTTAGTGGAGATTAAGTTGGCTGGATGACATGGATAGTATGTTTATAATTACATTGGTTATTTTGTGCGGCAGAGGGCCTCAGGAAATGATACTGTGGGCCTCATTTTGGACAGGCCGGATTTAGACTTGAACACAACAAGACAAATACATTAGAAAAAAACATTTTAAAAAGCCAGATCCTGTGAGATCCTTTAAGCTAAGCAGGGCAGGGTCTGGTTAGTGCTGTGATGGGAGACCACAGTGGGGCGGCTGCGGCTGTGAAGTGCCAAACTGTGGCTGTGTCCTTAGGCAAGACACTTCCCCCACATTAGAAAGAGTCTGGTGTGTGTGTGAGTGGTTGGTGGTGGTGGCACAGACTGGTTGCCTCGCTTCTGTCAGTGTGCCCCAGGGCAGATGTGGCTACAGTAGTAGTTTATCACCACTGTGTTTGGAGAAAGAAAAAAAGAAAGAAGAAAAAGAGACTTTGAGCGTCCAGAAAAGCACTGTGTAAAACCAATGCATTATTATTATTATTATTGTTAGTATCATTAAAGAATTCTACACTGATGGAATCTTTACGCAGAATGAGAACGTACATATTTATCATTTAATGAACACAAACATGCAACAGAGAGGAGAGGTGCTGGAGCTGCTGGCAGATGGACAGTAAGGAAGCGGGACGAGCCAGTGGCGTTCGTGATGAAGTTGCGTAATTGCTCAGATAATGAGTCAGTTTGTCTCTGGTCCACACAGTTTGACTCATGAGGGACTTCTGTCAGCTGCTCCAAAATATGAAGCTAGAAGCATTTGGAACCGAACGACAATATCTAAAAATCTAATACTTTGTTGTTGTTATTGTTAGCTGCACAAACTGAAACACACAAGCTGATTGGTTTGTGTTTGGTTACGCTACATTTCTAGTCTAGATAGACTAGTCTAGTCTATCGACTACAACCAGGAAGTAGCATTGCATTAGACCCGACTAGAACCAGGAAGTAGCATCACAAAAGTCCTGGTCTCAGGTCTCTGCACCTTTGACTCAGAAAATAGACTTTAAATCCACTCTGTTTGTAACAAGTCTCTCCATGGCACTCTGAGGAGCACAGGGACTGGCCTCCTGCTGGGACTCTGAGGAGCACAGGGACTGGCCTCCTGCTGGGACTCTGAGGAGCACAGGGACTGGCCTCCTGCTGGCACTCTGAGGAGCATAGGGACTGGCCTCCTGCTGGGACTCTGAGGAGCACAGGGACTGGCCTCCTGCTGGAACTCTGAGGAGCACAGGGACTGGCCTCCTGCTGGGACTCTGAGGAGCACAGGGACTGGCCTCCTGCTGGGACTCTGAGGAGCACAGGGACTGGCCTCCTGCTGGGACTCTGAGGAGCACAGGGACTGGCCTCCTGCTGGGACTCTGAGGAGCACAGGGACCGGCCTCCTGCTGGGACTCTGAGGAGCACAGGGACTGGCCTCCTGCTGGGACTCTGAGGAGCACAGGGACAATGTAAAGAAGACATTGACTAATAACAAACATACAACTTGATGCATAGTAGAGTTAGTAAGTATAATGTGAATATAGCGCCTTTCACAGTCGCCAGTAAAGGAGGCGCATATGAGACGCATTCTACATGTTTTTAGTGGTAGGGGAAACCGGAGCACCCAGAGGAAACCTATGGAGGCACGGGGAAAACATGCAAACTCCACTCAGAAAGGACCTGCTCTAACTGGGATTTGAACCCTTGAAAGTAGTATGTCAATTCCCCCTGCAACCCCCCCCCCCCCCCGAATTATTAACAGTAATGATAAAAAAATGGATAAAAATAAAACATAAAATAAATACATATAAAATACCTAAAAAAAATACATATAAAATACATACAATAAATACAGATAAAAACAGTCAATCCCTCGCAGCGTCTGGAACTAAAATGATCGTATATTTACCATTGACAAAAAGGGTCTAAGTCTTTCTAGTTGAGCACATCTCTTTCCCAACTGTCACATTGAAGCAAATATTCAAACATACTTTTATCCTTAACCTTAAGAAACACATGTCGTCCTTGTCCTCGCAGTGGAACCAGGCGGACCGGTCAGAGGCTCAGAAGTTTGGGCCCCCAGAGGGGCCTGGCCCCTGCTGCTCTGCCATAATGTGGAGCAGGCTGCGCTCGGCGGTGGAGATGGCAGCCGCCCAGAGCACATGGCACGTCCTCTCTCTGCTGCCACCGAGAAATCTGCTGCTTTCAGGGACATCGCTGACCACGCCGTATCAGAGAAGTGAGTGTGGAAGTGAGTGTGGACAGAATATAGAAAAAAAAAGTCCATCATCCAGCTCTGACTGCAGACGCTGCTCCCTCATGACCATAGGTGAGGGAGGGGAGCTCTGACTGCAGACGCTGCTCCCTCATGACCATAGGTGAGGGAGGGAACAAAGATTGACCGGTAAATCGAGAGCTTTGCCTTTCGGCTCAGCTCCCTCTTCACCACAACGGTCCGATACAGCGACCGCATCACTGCGCACGCTGCACCGATCCGCCTGTCAATCTCACGCTCCATTCTTCCCTCACTCGTGAACAAGACCCCGAGATACTTGAACTCCTCCACTTGAGGAAGGACCTCTCCTCCTGGAGAGGAGAAATGAAGTGAGTATGGAACGACTTTTTGTGTCATCAGATTTTGGATTTTGGTGAAGAAAAAAAAAGACGGAGAGTTTGTTCCATAATAATTTACCTGAATTCATAAAATTTGTGTTTTTTAACATCTTGGATCTTTTTGTCTGAGAATTTCAGTCTCTGATTTTCAATATCATCGGCTGTATCTGAACGTCCACACTTGACCATATCCACTCACTCTGTAGTGCACTATGTAGGGGATAGTGTGGACGTTCAGATACAGCCAGAATGGTTTTTAACTTCACTATTAAAACAAATTAAGTCATTCATTTTCAAGAGCTTAAATTCAACTGTAAAAATTCACAAGTAAAATGGTGAAAAATTATCATAATTTAAAATTCTAAATGTGATCACACTAAATATCTTCCATAAGAGGCTTCCACGTGCTCTTTGTGAAGTGTTTCTGTGGCAGCCTGAGGTTGTCGATTTCACCAACACAGATCAGAGAATCAGAGCCATGGTCCATAAGAGACCAATGTGGAGTGTCCTGGGTCATCACCGCTGTCCTTGGACCTGACTCTTTATGACAGTGACCTGCAGCATTGATGCTAAAGGGAGACTATGGCGTGTTATACTTCATATATTCCTATTGTTATTCACCGGTTTCATATTTAGGCCGAGCCAATACGAAGTATTGGGGAGGCCTATTGTTATTCACCGGTTTCATATTATAATACTTATTTTTTTTCCGCAACTTCAATTCGATTTTTGACCCTGAAGACATGCACGAAAGTCTGCACATGGGGGGTCTAAAACGACCGGTTCGGCGAAACATTTGATAAAATGAACGTTTCCAGATTGTCCGACGCTCGCCGACTCTATAACGCCCCCTAAAAATTTCATTTTTTTTGACCCTCTGGGGATTTTTTTTCAAATTTTGGAGTAGGTACACGAAATTCGGATAAGTGATAGATCTCTATGAGACGAGCATAAAAGCCGGTCTAAGCACATGTCTGGGACCAACAGGAAGTCGGCCATGATGGGCCGAAGTTTCGCCACTAATTTGACTTTTCATTTAGAAATTCGAACTAGTCCCTGGTTTTTCATCACACAGAGTTCTACCACGTCATTTCCCAATCTGGACGGATTGAAGTTATATAATCATCGAAAAAAAGTTAGAAAATCTTCACCGTTTTCGTCCCTCGCCATGGCGAATAAGGCCTTCGTTTTGGCCATTTTCGCTGAGCCCTGAGGGCCACAGGCTCAGACCTACAGAGCTGAGACTCACATCAGTAATATTAGGTTATGGCCTGAACGCAATGACACTAAAATCATTCGCCCAATATGAGCTCTTTAGCGCCACCTGTCGGAAAGTAATAGGGCACTAGTGCTCGGATCGGCCCGGAAATCGCTGAGTGTATTCTCTGGACCGAGACGAGCAAAACATTACATTATGCAAAAGTTGTACGTCCCACACCTGACCACTGGGGGCGCCGGAAAGTGAATAAATGAGCTTTTTGGGGCAAAATGTTTGTCCGATGAGGCTAAAAATGAATTCAGAAATACAACGTATGACCCTGAACACAACGATATACAACACACAACTGTGAGTGCAACAGCGCCACCTACAGGCAGTTCAAGGTGTTGCATTTTTGGCTTCGTACTAGTCCCTGGATTTTCATCGCACAGACTTCTACCATGTCATTTCTCCATCTGGACGGATTGAAGTTATGCAATCATCGCATAAAAGTTAGAATTTTGTTATCGTTTTCATGCGAGGTAGTGGGGAATTTCTCCATGTTTGATGCTCTCCTGACCACAGGCTCAGACCTACAGAGCTGAAACTCACATCGCTAACAGTTGGTAATGGCCTGAGAGTAATGGTGTGAAAACACACACCTAATATGACTCTACAGCGCCACCTATGGAAGGCTTCTGACCTAAACTTTTCCGATCTTCACCAAAGTTGCAAAATCAAATCTTTACATCTGTACGAGCAAAATACTACTCTACGTAGAGGGTGCATGTCCTGGAGGTGACCACTAGGGACGCACTTTATCATATAAATGAGCTTTTATATTCGTAATCCTGGTCAGATCGGGCTGCCAATTCGTCGGCGTGACGCTTGTGGGACCGGCGCCCAGGAGGCGGTCGCAAGAGGGGCGAGGCCTTTCATCGCCGCTTGCGGCTTTAATTAGGCCGAGCCAATACGAAGTATTGGGGAGGCCTATTGTTATTCACCGGTTTCATATTATTATTCTTATTTATTTTCCGCAACTTCAATTCGATTTTTGACCCTGAAGACATGCACGAAAGTCTGCACATGGGGGGTCTAAAACGACCGGTTCGGCGAAAAATTTGATAAAATGAACGTTTCCAGATTGTCCGACGCTCGCCAACTCTATAACGCCCCCTAGAAATTTCATTTTTTTTGACCCTCTGGCGATTTTTTTTCAAATTTTGGAGTAGGTACACAAAATTCGGATGAGTGATAGATCTCTATGAGACGAGCATAAAAGCCGGTCTAAGCACATGTCTGGGACCAACAGGAAGTCGGCCATGATGGGCCGAAGTTTCGCCACTAATTTGACTTTTCATTTAGAAATTCGAACTAGTCCCTGGTTTTTCATCACACAGAGTTCTACCACGTCATTTCCTAATCTGGACGGATTGAAGTTATATAATCATCAAACAAAAGTTAGAAAATCTTCACCGTTTTCGTCCCTCGCCATGGCGAATAAGGCCTTCGTTTTGGCCATTTTCGCTGAGCCCTGAGGGCCACAGGCTCAGACCTACAGAGCTGAGACTCACATCAGTAATATTAGGTTATGGCCTGAACGCAATGACACTAAAATCATTCGCCCAATTTGAGCTCTTTAGCGCCACCTGTCGGAAAGTAATAGGGCACTAGTGCTCGGATCGGCCCGAAAATCGCTGAGTGTATTCTCTGGACCGAGACGAGCAAAACATTACATTACGCAAAAGTTGTACGTCCCACACCTGACCACTGGGGGCGCCGTAAAGTGAATGAATGAGCTTTTTGGGGCAAAATGTTTGTCCGATGAGGCTAAAAATGAATTCAGAAATACAGCGTATGACCCTGAACACAACGATATGCAACACACAACTGTGAGTGCAACAGCGCCACCTACAGGCAGTTCAAGGTGTTGCATTTTTGGCTTCGTACTAGTCCCTGGATTTTCATCGCACAGACTTCTACCATGTCATTTCTCCATCTGGACGGATTGAAGTTATGCAATCATCGCATAAAAGTTAGAATTTTGTTATCGTTTTCATGCGAGGTAGTGGGGAATTTCTCCATGTTTGATGCTCTCCTGACCACAGGCTCAGACCTACAGAGCTGAAACTCACATCGCTAACAGTTGGTAATGACCTGAGAGTAATGGTGTGAAAACACACACCTAATATGACTCTACAGCGCCACCTATGGAAGGCTTCTGACCTAAACTTTTCCGATCTTCACCAAAGTTGCAAAATCAAATCTTTACATCTGTACGAGCAAAATACTACTCTACGTAGAGGGTGCATGTCCCGGAGGTGACCACTAGGGACGCACTTTATCATATAAATGAGCTTTTATATACGTAATCCTGGTCAGATCGGGCTGCCAATTCGTCGGCGTGACGCTTGTGGGACTGGCGCCCAGGAGGCGGTCGCAAGAGGGGCGAGGCCTTTCATCGCCGCTTGCGGCTTTAATTACCGAGCAATACGAAGTATTGGGGAGCTATTGTTATTCACCGGTTTCATATTATTATTCTTTTTTTTCCGCATCTTCAATTCGATTTTTGACCCTGAAGACATGCACGAAAGTCTGCACATGGGGGGTCTAAAACGACCGGTCCGGCGAAAAATTTGATAAAACGGACGTTTCGAGATTGTCCGACAAAAGGCGAATCAATAGCGCCCCCTTGAAAATTCAAATTTCCATTTCTATTGGAGGCAGGATTGCATATTTTGGAGTAGGTACACGAAATTCGGATGAGTGATAGATCTCTATGAGACGAGCATAAAAGCCGGTCTAAGCACATGTCTGGGACCAACAGGAAGTCGGCCATGATGGGCCAAAGTTTCGCCACTAATTTGACTTTTCATTTAAAATTCGAACTAGTCCCTGGTTTTTCATCACACAGAGTTCTACCACGTCATTTCCTAATCTGGACGGATTGAAGTTATATAATCATCGAAAAAAAGTTAGAAAATCTTCACCGTTTTCGTCCCTCGCCATGGCGAATAAGGCCTTCGTTTTGGCCATTTTCGCTGAGCCCTGAGGGCCACAGGCTCAGACCTACAGAGCTGAGACTCACATCAGTAATATTAGGTTATGGCCTGAACGCAATGACACTAAAATCATTCGCCCAATATGAGCTCTTTAGCGCCACCTGTCGGAAAGTAATAGGGCACTAGTGCTCGGATCGGCCCGAAAATCGCTGAGTGTATTCTCTGGACCGAGACGAGCAAAACATTACATTACGCAAAAGTTGTACGTCCCACACCTGACCACTGGGGGCGCCGTAAAGTGAATGAATGAGCTTTTTGGGGCAAAATGTTTGTCCGATGAGGCTAAAAATGAATTCAGAAATACAGCGTATGACCCTGAACACAACGATATACAACACACAA